GACCAATGCTTACACGATACAATCTCACCGGCAAACCAAGAATGGATCGACGAATTTAATAGATTAACTTTTAATTTTCAAGATGATCCTTCTGCTTCATCTTGATAATTTCTTTGTAAATATTTATTTACTTTGTAATTTCTAATTTGTATAGTGTTTATTGTAATTTGTAATCTTGTATAGACTTTGTAAGTTCATCAAATTTGTAATTCGTCCCACAATGATTGCACTCTTTTTTCCTTACCAAGTTTTTATCCCAATTGGGTTTTTCTTGGTAAGGTTTTTAATAAGGCAATCATGAATTACAAATTTAAAAATCAATGAAGAAGTAATTTTTTTTATATAGTTCATTCGTGTCGTGTGTTCATTTTATATTTCAAATTGTAATATACACAATTACACATTGTAATTATACAAATACTTATTTCAACAACATAAAAATATAATATAAAAAAAAAAAATTTCGGGCATCGGGCAGCCCGACCGGGCACGGGTAGGCTTCCTCTGCCCGAAGCCCGTCCATGGGAATTTTTGGTTCAGGTCGGGCAGCCTGAATTTTCGGGCAGATCGGGTTCGGTCATCGGGCAAAAATTCAGACTTTTCGGTGGTCACGGACGGCCCGTCCAAAGTTTTAGCACTAGCCTAGATAATTGATTCGGGAGCAACTAATCATGTTTGTTTTTCTTTGCAGAGTCTTAGTTCTTACACCGAGTTAGCAGATGGGGACTACACGATGAAAGTGGGCAATGGCGTGAGAGTTTCAGCAAAAGCAGTGGGAGAAGTTAGACTTCGATTTAGGGAAAATAAATTTTTAGTTTTGAACAATGTTTATTTTATTCCAGACATTCGTAGAAATTTGATTTCTGTGGCTAAGTTATTTGAACAATTATTTAAAGTTTATTTTAATAATGAATTTGTTCATATTTCTCGAAATGGTTTAAATATTTATTCTGGACGTCTGGATGATGGTTTATATTGTATAAAACCAATACCTAACTCACTGCTTAATACTAAAATGTTCAGAGTTGCCGAACCTAAGAATAAAAAGCAAAAGATTTCTCACAACAGTAACACATATCTGTGGCATCTTAGGCTTGGTCATATTAACCTAAACAGAATTCAAAGACTGGTAAAGGATGGTCCTTTACGCGAACTAAAAGTTGGTGAGCTTCCGGTCTGTGAATCTTGTTTGGAAGGTAAAATGACCAAGAGGCCTTTTACAGCAAAAGGAGTGAGAGCTATAGAACCCCTTCAGCTGATACATTCAAATGTATGTGGACCATTAAACGTCCAAGCAAAAGGAGGTTACTAATATTACGTCACCTTTATTGACGACTATTCGAGATATGGTTATGTTTACCTG